TCCTCCTCCTCCTCCTCCTCCTCCTCCTCCTCCTCCTTCTGCTCCTCCTCCTCCTCCTCCTCCTCCTCCTCCTCCTCCTCCTCCTTCTCCATGCCTTATGAAGCAATTCTCCCTGTCGCCCCCCGAGGCAAGTGTTCAGCGCTGGCCCTGCGTTTCGCCTGAGACTTCTTCATTCGGTGTGACCCTAAAGCTAAACAATTGGCAACAGTTTCGCACAGAGATGGCGGGCCGTGTTCAAACTGTGGTTCTCGTTTTAGCGCCGCGCACATTCGTGTCTAAAATTATCCCAGTGCGACCCTACTTAGGAGTTGGACCCCCTAGGAAAGCAGCATTAGTAGTAACAGTAACGCTAAGCTAAAGCTAAGCTAAATCTAAGCTAAAGCTAAGCTAAAGCTAAGCCACAGCTAAGCTAAAGCTAAGCTAAAGCTAAAGCTAAGCTAAAGCTAAGCCAAAGTTAAGCTAAAGCTAAGCTAAAGCTGAGCAACAGCTAAGCTAAAGCTAAGCTACAGCTAAGCTAAAGCTAAGCTAAAGCTAAGCTAAACGCTAAGCTAAACGCTAAGCGAACAGCTAAGCGAAACGCTAAGCTAAAGCTAAGCTACAGCTAAGCTAAAGCTAAGCTAAAGCTAAGCTAAAGCTAAAGCTTCCAGGGGACTGGGGGGAACCGCTCCCATGGGACTGGGGGAACCGCCCGGGGCGTGTTCCACTGCCCGGCCCCTTTAAGCTAAGAGAGTAAGAACCCTTCTAGGCAGAGCCTAGGTAGGGAATTTGAAAGAGCTTCACGGATTGAGGGCGAATGGTTTTCAACATGCGATTCTCGCTTAGTGCCGCGCACATCCGTTTTAAACAATTGCAAGAGCTTCGCATGTTGTGGGCGGATGTCGTTCAACATGTGGTTCTCGCCCTAGCGCCGTGCACATTCATTTTAAAGATTTGCCAGAGCTTCGCAGATTGAGGGCGGATGTTGTTCAACATGCGGTTCTCGCTTGAGCGCCGCTCACATCCGTTTAAAAGTAGGTAAGGAGTTCGCGGATCGAGGGCGGTTCTTTTGAAACATGTGGTTATTTTTTAGCGTCATTTATATTCGCTATAAACATTTCCAAGAGTTTGAACAATGTACCAGTATTAATGTATTGTAAGGATTCCAGATTTTGATGATGCAACAATTACTTTGATTCGTGGTGTTGAAGTCCCAGGAGTGGCGTTCTGGCAATATTCAAGACCGTCAAGGCGCAACAGTCAGGTTGATCCGTGGCTTTGGAATCCCGAGAACAACGTTTTGGCATGCTTCAGGGTCTTCAAACGGTCGAGGCAGTTCCCTCAGTGGACATGACCGTTGTAGGGGCCTATGGAGAGGGAGCTTGGAGGGAGGGTTTATTTCAACATCGTTGATGACTCTTGGGTTTACACCGGTCCTTCCCCTCCTGCTCCTCCCCCTCCTCCTCCTCCTCCCTCCTCCTCCTCCTCCTCCTCCTCCTCCTCCTGCTCCTCCTAGCTCCACCTCCTCCTAGCTCCTCCTCCTCCTCCTCCTCCTCCTCCTCCTCCTCCTCCTCCTCCTCCTCCTCCTCCTCGGGTCTCAAGACACGGGGGTCGATGCAAACGGGGGTCAGCCCGAGCGCCCGATCTTGGAGGATCCTGCAGGGCCAGGGTCGCATTGACCCGAGCTTGGGCGCAGGATCATGCAGGATCTTGCAGGATCCTTCGCATTGACCCGGGCTTGGGTGCAGGCTCTTGTAGGATTTTCAAGGATTCTGCAAGTCCTGACTGACCCGGGTCCGGAGATCCCGAAACCCGAAGAGACCACAGGTTCAGTTGAAAAAAAAGCGGCATAAACATAACTCTTGGCGTTCCGCGCAGGTTTCTTGGATCGGCGCTGGGGCCCCCTGGCCGCGCCTCCGGCGCCGCCCCTGGCGCGCTCCGCGCGCCACGGATGGGGGTCCAGCTCAGATCTAAGAAATCAGCGCGGAGCGCCAACAGTTTATGTTTATGTCGTTTGTCCTTCTATTCAGGGTGTCCAGACCGGGTCACGCATGCAGCGCGCCGATGATTGCGTGCAGTTTGGTCATCGTGTTTTTCCACAACCATCCTGTGGTGTCGGGTCCCCTCGTTTTGAAGAGACGGTTCCCGCGTTCCTTTCTTCCTCTCTTCCTTCCTCCTCCTCCTCTTCCTCCTCACACGTTTCATGGCCCCATGGGGAGCTCCACCGAAGGCCCCAGTGCCACCGTCCACATGCGTCCCCCCCACCCACTTCGGCACACCCCTCACACGTTTCGTGGCCCCATAGGGAGCGCCACCGAAGGCCCCAGTGCCAGCGCCCACACCCCTCACACGGTTCGTGGCTCTATAGGGAGCGCCACCGAAGGCCCCAGTACCATCGCCCACATGCGTCCCCCACACCCTCCCTATGGGGCCACGAAACGCGTGATGGGTTTTTCGAAATGGGTGTCGGGGACGCATGTGGACGGTGGCACTGGGGCCCTCGGTGGGAGCTCCCTATGGGGCCACGAAACGTGTGAGGGTGCCGACATGGGTGAGTGGGACGCATGTGGACGGTGGCATTGGGGCCTTCGGTGGAGCTCCCTGTGGTGCCACGAAACGTGTGAGGGGGGTGCCGAAATGGGGCGCATGTGGACGGTGGCACTGAGGTTTTGGTGGAGCTCCCAATGGGGCCACGAAATGTGTGAGGGGCGTGCCGAAGTAAGCTACGCCGAAGGCCCAGTGCCACCGTCCACATGCGTCCCCCACACCCATTCCGGCAAACACACACACACACACACACCACCCGTTTCGTGGCCCCATAGGGGGTGCCACCGAAGGCCCCAGTGCCACCGTCCACATAGTCCACATACGTCCCTCACACCCATGTCGGCACCCCCCTCACACGTTTCGTGGCCCCATGGGAGCTCCACCGAAGGCCCCAGTGCGACCGTCCACGTGTGTCCCCCGCACCCATTTCGGCACACCCCTCACACGTTTCGTGGCTCCATCGGGAGCTCCACCGAAGGCCCCAGTGCGACCGTCCACATGCGTTCCCCTCACCCATTTCGGCACCCCCCCTCACACGTTTCGTGGCACCACAGGAGCTCCACCGAAGGCTCCAGTGCCACCGTCCACTTGCGCCCCCCACCCCCCTTTCGGAACACACGTCACACGTCTTGTGACCTTATAGGGAGCTTCACCGAAGGCCCCAGTGCAACCGCCCGCATGCGTCCCACACGCACACACACACACACACACCCACTTCGGCACCCCCCTCACACGCTTCGAGGCCCCATAGGGAACTCCACCGAAGGCCCCAGTGCCACCGTCCACATACGTCTGCCGCACCCGATTCGGCACACGCCTCACAGGGTTCGTGGCCCCATAGGGAGCGCCACCGAAGAAGATATTCACAATTGCGGTATTCACAACTGCATACGGTTTTGTCCTTCGCCAGGTTAATTGTTGTCCCAGGCCTCTGCTCCGGAGCGCTTGCCAGATCATCGCCGTTTCGATCGCTGACACGTTCACCCCCCATCTCCCCGCATTGCTCGTCGGGGAGGGCCTTGGAGTGCGCCTTCAAGAGGGAGCGCTGAGCAGAGGGCAACCGGAAGGGGACGGAACCGTCCCAACACGCTCCTCCTTCCACAATTTCTTCCTCTCTTCCCTCCCCAAACACTTCTCCTCCCCTTCTTTTGATTTCGTAAGATGTCTGTATATACATAATGGATTGACTGTCCGACCGTCGCCGTACTGATTGGTTCCTCGGTTGGGTGAATGATCGGGTCGGGACGGCTATGGCGCGCGAGGTCAGAGCTACTGGGGCCGGTCAGGAGGCCTCTTTGGGCCTCTTAGGGGGCTGCCTGGAGACCTCTGGCGGCCTTTTGAGGGCCTCTGGGGGTCTTCTGGGGGCCTGCTGGCGAAGGGGCCTCCTTCGGGCAGAGGACTCAAAATGACAATTCGAATTCCTCCTCTTGGACCCCTTTGGGGGCCCTCTGAGGAACCTTAGATGCTAGAAATATATGTTTTCCTGCGGCCCCTGTTGGGAGGGATAGGGCGATGTTTGCCTCCTGGAGCTCTGTTGGGAGGGTTCTTGCAGGCCTCTTGGGGCGTCTTGGAGGCCTCTTGGGCCATTTGGAGGCCATCTGCAGCGTCTTGGACCTCTGGAGCTCGGCGACTCGCGGCCTTCTGGGACCGTCTGAAAGGCTTCTCCCAGGAGGAACAACAGACACAACTCATCGTCGGTTCCCACGAGAATATGGGAACCTGGGGGAAAAGACAGAAGCCCAGAAAATATAGGAACATGGGGAATCCTGGGATATGTGTATCTTTTTGTTTGTGTGTCCCAGGGCCCCTTTCCTCTTGGAGCCCTCTTGGCCCGTCGTGGGGCCCTCTTGGGGCATCCTGGGGCCGAGCGGAGAGCCCTTCTGGGGCGCATTCTCTCCGGACTCGGCCCCCGCCCGCGGGGCCCCAGGCGCCGAGGCAGACCCGTGGTCTTAAGGGTATATCGGGACCCATGGCTTCAGCACAGCTGTAGACGGCACTTTTATCGGGGGTGGACAGAACCCCCAACATTGACACGTCGATTAGTGAATTGTCCGTTCTTGGTTCTCGAGAGGGCGCCGTGACCGTTATTTTCCAGCCTTGCGCCCGCCAGGTTTGGGCCTCAGGTCGTTTTCACTAAACCACGTTTTACTAAAGGGGGGTCTGTCCATCCCCGATTGAGGGTATCGGGACCCATGGTTTCAGCACAGCTGTAGACGGCACTTTTAGTCGGAGAAGGAGGGGACCCAGAAGCATAAAAACTCTTGGCGCTCCGCGCGGATCTCCGGGATCCGCGCTGGGGCCCCCTGGCGGCGTTTCCGTCGCCGCCCCATGGCGCGATCCGCGCGCCAGCGCGACTCCAAGGAATCCGCGCGGCGCGCCAAAAGTTTATGTTTCTGGGTTTTCTTCCTCAACGTATGTCGACACATTGTGAAGAGTTCAATATACATATAGATGCTTAAGCCGCGACGGCAGGAATTGAGGTCCCGTGGCCGTCCTGGCTCTGACCCTGACAAGCCGTCCATATGTTGACACCTGCACACACATATTAACTTCTCTTGGCGGCCTAGATGGCCAAGATGTTTGTCCGATACCTTGTGGTCGCCATCCTGTCCGTGTCATCCAGGACAGGGTATGGGTGGACTTGCCACGTCTCCACAGAGTGCCAGATCGACGTCCAGATGATCCAGACCATGGCAGTCCCCGGCGCGATGAGGGCCAACGCGAGCAGGGCCGAAGCACTGGTCGGTGTCAACATCGCCCGTAAACCGGGTGGCTCAGCATTAATAGTGGCCAGGCTGTCTGAGGCGACTGGCATGCAGGCGGCCATGGAGACCCAAGCTGTGTCCACAATCAAGAACTCTGGTCTTCTTGCTCAGCCTTTTGTTCTCGCTAACCCAAGCACCGCCAAGATTGTGTCAGTCAGCGGCACCTCTGTGGTTTACGTCTACCTCCCTATCTGGTCTTTGAGCACTCTTCCTATCGGTCAAGGTCTGGAAGAAATGCTCCTGGCTGATTTTCGGGGCATGGCTGGGTGGACCAACGGCTACCCCCTGTCTGTTACGATCGGCGCTGACGAGAGTTCGGCGACATCGAACTCGGCTCTGGGTGGCGGTGGTGCCGCAGTGGGGGACCCCCATTTGCAAAACATTCATGGTGAGCGGTTTGACCTGATGCAGCCTGGCGAGCACGTGTTGCTTCACATCCCGAGGCGTGAGAGCATTGAAAACACTTTGCTCCACGTTCAGGCGGCTGCGCAGACCTTGGGCGGCCTCTGCACGGACACGTACTTCACGCGCATCAACATCACAGGAAGGTGGCCGAGTGCACTGCGGCCTGGTGGCCTCGTGTTCCGCGCGGACGACCCCGACAACGGCGCAGAGTCCAAGTGGATGAACCTGCACGGGTCGTCCCAGGGACTCCAGATCAAGGTCGTCCACGGCCACACGCAGCAGGGGACCCGCTACCTGAACTTCTACGTCAAGGGCCTTGGGCGAACGGGCTTGCCCGTCGGAGGGCTCCTGGGAGAGGACGACCACGAGGAGGCCTCGAGGCCCATCCGCGCCTGCGAGCAGCACCTGGCCCTGCTCGCGGCATCCACGGTGACCTCCTGAAGAGGGCCCAGACCCCCCTCGGCGTGGTGGAGAAACGTCGCGACGGGTTTTTTTTTGTTGCCTCCATGTTCGGCCTCGGGGGGCCCTTTCTATTGTTGGGCCCTGGGGCCATCAACAACACGATTCCGGACGAGAAGCCGGTCCCAGGGACGGGGTCCAGCAGACCTCTGGGAGTCGACGTTGTGAAAGAAGGAAAAAAAAACACGACGTCGGGGGTCTGGGGAGATCCGCGGCCACGCCGCGCCGGCAGAGCATGCCTCAGAGGCGGCTCAGGTCCCCACGCGAGGTGCAGTGTGCGTCTCGTTCGTGGCCTCGTCTGGAACGCAGAAAAAGTCTGGGAGATGCAGGAAAGAAGCGTGATGAGGAGGAGGGAGGTCCCGAGGGCCAGGTGCCACGACGGCTACATCGCAGTGGTCTTAGGGGGCTCTGGAGAGGCATGGGTCTGGCCTGCAGAGCCCGGAAGCGCCGGGAGGACTGTGAGGACCAGAGTGAGGACTCGCCGTAGAAAGTGTGAGGACTGTGAGAAAAGAAAAGCTCCCCTCCCCCTCCTCCTCCTCTCTTCCCGGTCCTCACGGTCCTCAAATGTTTTACGGGAGTCCTCACTCTGGTTCTCACGGTCCTCGCATAGATTTTGCAGCGGATTAGCGCGCGACGAAGCCACCAGGGACGAGAAGGGGACAACAGGGTTCCACATGTTTCAGCGGAATAGCGCGGCAAAGTTGCCAGGGGCGGTAAGGGGACTAAATGGTGGACCCTTCGGGTTCGACCCCGTGTTCGCCCCCCTCCACCTCCCCCCCCCCTTCCCGCAGATTCAAAGTTGAGTCGGGCCTCGCGGAGGCCCTCGGGGTTCCGCCTTTTCTTCTCCTCTCACGCCTGCGCTGCCGAATGCTTGGCACCAGCTCAGAATTTGGGGGGAGGGGAGGGGGCGGAGTCAAGGGTTCCACCTTCTCGTCCGTCCACAGGAGGAGGGGTCCAGCACTCGCCCGTGTTCGCGCCCGATGGCCGATCGTAGGCGCCTCGTCGTCGCTGGCCGTGGGCGTCTCGAGGGCACCACACGGCTGTGGACACCACGCAGGTTGCAAGACGCAGCTTGCACCATGGAGCTTGCACCGCGCACCTTCCAACACATAGGTTGCACAACAGACGTTGCTCCACACGGCTCGCACCGCATGGGCCCTCCATGCGAAAGGCAGATCGGTTCCGTCCCCCTCTCCCCAGATTGCCGCCACCCCCTTGGACATTGCAAGGTACCGATAGTTATGATTCATCGTGCATTCCCCATACGAGTTCACACCATTCCCTCATCCCTGTCAAATAATAGATTTCGTGCGCGCTCGCTTATCTGGCAAAGTACGGCAGAACGGCTGCCCGCGCGCGCATATGGAAAAATCACACCATGGTCATTAGGTAAGATCTCTTTCAGTATACGAAAATCAAAAACCGCTTGTCAGCTCATGCAGTTTGTTCCCCCAAACGGTGTTTGCATTTAGGGGCTTATTTCTGTTCTGAAGAACTGTGCCTGGGTGCCGGTCTGGCGGCTCCGCGGACGCCGTCGCCGCCCCGTTGCCGCCTTGTCGTCGCCCGTCGTATGGGCGTGTGCGCTGGTCTGGCGGATATGTGGCAGCCGTGGCCGCCTCGTCGCCGTCCGTCGTGTGGGCCCAGCTGCCGGTCGGGCGGTTCCGTGGTCGTTGTCGCCGCCCCATCGCCGCCCCGTCGCCGCCCCGTCGCCGCCTAGGTTGCACAACGCAGATTGCATCACACATATTCTGCTTCCTAACACGAATTAGGATATACCACCTCCCGCGGCTTTATTCGCACCCCCTGGGGGTGTGCAGTTTACATATCACTCGGCCCCATCGCTCATTTCCCATATGATTTCATATCAGCCCACCCAGGCTGGTGATCCCCCAACCTAGTCAAACCACACTATCCGCACTCTCTCGTTTACTAAATACCAGCACTTGTCAGGAATCCCGTTCCACTGATGCATCAAAGTCCACACGCGCGCGTCGCCGCGCGCGCGTGCCGAAATCTTTCAAAAGCCGTGGGCGTCCCAAGGATTTCAAGATCGATTGCATCAATGATTCTGCAACGTGGCTATCGAAAAAGGTCTGCCCGCGCGCTCTCGCGAATTCTTCCGAGCACTTGAGTTTTTTAACATGTCCATCACATGCGACCAAATGGGCTTCTCGCGAGCGCATGTCGAAATCAGATGAGCGCCCTTGCGCGCGTGCTTGGGGGGGTCCTTGTCGATAATTTCACGCGGGCCACTCGCGCGCGTCGGCCGCGCGCGCATGTCGGAATCCTTCCGGAACCTTCATCACCGACACGTGGACAACAACATCATCATCATCATGATCATCATCATCATCATCATCATCATCATCATCATCATCATCGGCGCGATCAGCATCGGCGCCATCATTGGTCTTGACGTCGTCAGTGTTGTCATCATCAACAGCATCTCTACTATCATCATCGTGCTTGCTGTTGTCGACGTCGCAATGATACCGCGGCAGCTTGGGTCACCGACTCGCACTGAAGTGCCCGCGCATCAGCGCGGCTGCGAGAAGAGCCCGGAAGGCCCCAGCGGTCAGCGCCACCGCGGCCGCGTCGGTCGCACTAGACTAGCTAGCCGTTTTGCAGGCGAGCTTGCGCGCGCCACCGCGACCACAGCGCTGCGCCAGCCAGCGCCAAGCAGTCATCGCCATCGCCGCCGCAGGGGTTTTGCAAACCAAGCTGCGGGTGGCTGGGTAGGATGATTGCGCGAGCAGCGGGGCTGACATCCTCAAGTTCGGCAGGGTGAATTGCACCGCGTTGGTAACACCACACAGATTGCGCACCACCGCGTCGAGTGCACTGCACAATTCGCACCACATCGTGCACACATCGCCTGCACGGACGGAGTGCACACGCGTGCGTCGTCGCGCGTGCATGCCAAAATCCTTCAAACACCTTCGGTTTCGGAAGGATGTCAAAATCGAGCTTCAGACAAAAAACATACAAAAACACAGGGTCTCGCAACACTGATTTGCTAAAATTAAAAAATTACGCGCGCGCTCTTGCGAAATCTTAAGAACAAACCATATGTTTTTTAACATGTTCAAAACATGCTACCAAACGGGCTTCGCGCGCGCATGTCAAAGTCGTTCGAACGCCCTTGCGCGCGTGCCGTCGCGAGAATCCTGCACAAGATGGGACGAAATGCACGCGCGCGCGTCGTCGCGCGAATGCCGAAATCATTCAAAAACCTTCGGCTTCGGACGGATGTCAAAATCGAGTGTCCAAAATACATACAAAACCCAGGGTTTCGCAACACGTATTCTCAACACAAACGTGCGCACGCGTTCTTGCGTCGTCGTCATCGTCGTCGTCGCCGTCCCTCTTCCCTCATCGTCGTCGTCCTCGCCGTCGTCGTCCTCTGTCTTTCCTCGTCGTCGTCGTTGTCGTCCTCTTTGGCGTCGTCGTCGTTTCCGTCGTCATTGTCGCCGTGATCGTCCTTCCTCCTCCCTCGTCGTCGTCGTCGTCGTCGTCCGTCGTCAGCGTCTCGTCGTCGTCCCTCCTATTTCGTCGCCGTCGTCGTCGTCGTCGTCGTCTTCCTTCTTCCTTGATCGTCGTCGTCGTCGGCGTCGCCGTCCTCCCTCCTTTGTCGTTCGCGTCGTCACCGTCCTCCCTCCTCCCTCGTCGTTGTCGTCATTGTCGCCGTCGTCGTCCTCCCTCCTCCCTCGTCGTCGTTTTCGTTGGCGACGTCGTCGTCGTCGTCGTCTTCGTCGTCGTCGTCGGCGCCGTCGTCATCGTCGTCGTCGGCGTTGTCATCGTCGTCGTCGTCGTCGGCGTCATCGTCGTCGTCGGCGTCGTCGGCGTCGGCGTCGTCGTCGTCGGGGTCGTCGTCGTCCTCGTTGTCGTCGTCGTCGTCGTCGTTGGAGACGCCGCCGGTGTCGTCGTAGTCGTTGTCGGCGTCGTCGTCGTCGTTGTCGCTGCCGTCGTCGGCGTCGGTGTCGCCGCCAAGTGAAATTTGGTACCTAACGTCACGGTCTTAAAAGGTATTGCGACCAAGTTGCGGGTGGGAGGGGGGATGTTTGCACGGCAGTGTTGATTGTTTAATGTGTTACTGTGTCTATCTATTTTGGAGCTCATATTTTTACTTATTTCGGCCCACCTTTCTAAAAGACATAGATTCTACCCCCCCCCCGGGACTCATCGGCCCCCCCCGCGCGTGCGTAAGACGAAAGATTTATAGGGATAGGGGATTGGTATCGACCAAGTTCGGGCACACACACAAAAAACGAAGGAGACCTGGAACGCTGAAATAGGAGCTACACGATGGCCAGCCAAGCCGGGTTCCCCCCCCTGCGGTTTCCTGGTAAAAAACACTATGCGGTGACATGTTTTCTAACATATTACTTTTTCACGAATCCCTTGCAAAAAATGGGACGAAGTGCACACGCGCGCGTCGTGGCGCGCGCATGCTGGAATCCTTAAAAAACCTTCGGTTCCGGAGAGATTTCAAAATTGAATTTCCAAAAAATATGTAAAAACACATGGTTTCGCAACACTGATCAAAAAAAAAACTTACGCGCGAGCTCTTGCGAAATCTTAAGGAAACCATAGGTTTTCCAAGATTTTCACAAAATGCTTCCAAACGGGCTTCGCGCGCGCATGTCGAAATCTGTCGAACGCTCTTGCGCGTGTGCCGTCGCGAGAATCCTCTGCAACAAATGGGACGAAGTGCAGACGCGCGCGTCGTCGCGGGCGTATGCCGAAATCCTTCAAAAACCTTCGGTTTCGGAAGAACGTCGAAATCGTGCGTCCAAAAAACCTACAAAAACACAAGGTTTCGCAACACGGGTTTTCAACAAAATTGTGCGCGCGCGCTCTTGCGTCGTCGTCGTCGTCGTCGTCGTCGTCCTCCCTCCTCCCTCGTCGTCGTCGTCGTCGCCGTCGTCGTCTTCTGTCTTTCCTCGTCGTCTTTGGCGTCGTCGTCGTTTCCGTCGTCGTTGTCGCCGTGGTCGTCCTTCCTCCCTCGTTGCCTTCGTCGGCGTCTCGTCGTTGTCCCTCCTATTTCGTCGCCGTCGTCGTCGTCGTCGTCGTCGTCGTCGTGGTCTTCACTCCTCCCTCGTCGTTATCCTCCTCCCTCGTCGTCGTCGTCCGTCGTCGGCGTCTCGTCGTCGTCCTTTCATTTCGTCGCCGTCGTCGTCGTCTTCGTCGTCGTTGTCATCGTCGTCGTCTTCCCTTCTCCCTCGTCGTTGTCGTCGTCGGCGTCGCCGTCCTTCCTCCTTCTTCGTCGTTGGCGTCGTTGCCGTCTTCCCTCCTCCATCGTCGTTGTC